GCAGGCTGGTCCTCGTGTCAGGAATACACCCTGGTTTCGTCTGCACACACACACACAGTGTGAACACAACACACACACACACACACACACACACAGTGTGAACACAACACACACACACCCTGTGGGCACTCGAGCCTCTCTCTCTCTCACCTTGCATTTGAGGTTGTTGGTTTGATTCTTCAGCTGATCATGGAGCCAGCGCTGAGCATACTGATGAGACAGGACATCTGACATCGGAGACGACGGCCTGATGGAGACATCGATTGGTCACTGATCATTCAATATTATCGATCAGATATCATTTGATCATCGTGAAGTGATCAATTCCACCTGTTTCTGACTCCAAACGTGATGTCAGGAACCTGATCGCGGCATCGTGGAAGCCGACCGTGCCGCAGTTTGGAGGCGGAGCTCTGGGCCCTCTGAGCCCGGTACTGACTCAGCTCTTTGGGCGTCACCATGCCAGACTTCACCGCCTCGCGGTTCAGAGACACAAAGTCTGCATGCTGAGCGGCAGATTCTTCCTGCCGCGGCTGAACGTTCCAACTGGAAAGAGCTGACAGAGCACAGGTGACGGGTAAGAGGACGCCCACGGGCCCAAAACCTTGGATCCGACAGGTGAGACGCTGGGTCGGGGTGAGATCGGCCAGCTTCAATCACACAGCGACACACAAAGTCCCACTTTGACACACCTGTCTCTGATGAGGGACTGCGGTTCAGCTGTGCATGAGTCACAGTTCAAAATAATCCTTCTTTATATCACTAAAGGCCCACTTTGTGCACAATGGACAACCTCTGGAAGCCTACAGAGGGGCAGAACCCCAGGTGGACTGTATTTAGTGGGCATGCAGCATCAGTGATTCAGCTCCTTATTTTCACCTCCAACAGAGACAGCTGTGTGTGTGTGTTTGTGTGTCTGTGTGACTGACAGATGAGAGGAGTCTTATGTTGTGTGTGTGTGTTTGACTGACAGCAGTGATTGCAGCCTGAAGGCATGTTAAGTTCATGCAAACACACTCTGACAGCTGACTGCCTCACACACACACACCCCTCCTGTTAGCGGAATCCCAGCACCTCAGCGCTCAGCCTGGGTTTAGCCAATTAGGATGTGAAGCTGCAGTTCCTCCAGTGTCCACCAGGCGGCGCTTATTTGTCCTTCGTGACACAAACACTGACCACCAAGAGAGCCAGCATTACAAACACACAGGGCTGTTATGACGATACATGTCTGATGATGATATGAAAACGTCTGGCGTTTCATGTTACGCTATCGTTTGTTTGGTTGTGTCACAAAATAAACTGTTTACGGCAACATTTTTCATCGCTCTGATTAAAGTTCTTTGACTTATACTTAAAATAACAACACTACGGACGGACGAGCCACTGTTTGTATGTGCTGCAACAACGACGGTAAACCCAGCGTGCGGCTCCGCTGTCCGCTTGTTTATTTTCCACATAAACCTTTCACAATAAAGCTGATGATCCTGTTGAGATTTTTCAAAATAAACTGAAGTGATGACAAACAGAAGGACCAGTCCAAACACATTGAGGACCTAATTCCTGAGGAGGGGCTACCTCTGTAGCATGGACATGGTTTGGTTATGAAAAGTCTGAATAGGACCAGAAAACTCTTCTACCACCTACGCAAGAGTCATGTGACAGAGTACGGTGTTTATGGATGAAAACAAAGCAGATCCGTCAGGTGCTCCAAATACACCTTAGAGTCAAACGAACAGGCTTTTCCCCGCAGCACGCCGTGGAACAAATACAAATACAAAGAAAGTTTCACGCATCAGTCAAAACGCTCGACTCCAGGTACACGAGCTGGAAACACGTCACACAGGTCGAGGTGCCCGAGATTCACAGAATTTACAGAAAAGCTAAAATATTTGTGAAAAATATTGTTGTCGGGACAATAAATGTCTTATTTTGGGACATGAGATTTTGGTTATATCACACAGCCACACACACACGATAACTGTCAGTGTGCTAATACTGTAGTGTGTTTACAGTGGGTGGGGCTTACCTTCCGCCACGCCTCCATCCCTCAGCCAGTTACTGCTGGTTCCAAAAGTGAAGTCCGGACCAGGAACGGCAAAACCTTTGGACCGCGAGCGCCCAAGAGGCGCCTGCACACAGGAAGTTTGATGACATCATCATGTTTTCTATCAGCACTCTTCCTTTAAACTGGACATGGCCATATTTGCATAAAGGGGTGGAGTTAAACGAGAAGCATCGCCCTCTATTGGTGTTAACTACAGCCATCTATTATTTACAGTCTGTTGTTTCTTAGATCAAACTTTAGAAAATGATAACAAATTATTTATTTTTCTGAATGAACGAAAAATGAATGAATTTTGTTTGTTTATCAGATATTTTAAGCAAGCGTCTAAGTTCAGAAACATTTTTCACCAAATAAACACAATGACAACAAAAACCTGTTTCATTAACCCAAAAGCATCCGACACATGACCCAGGAGAACGCCATCACACCAGCCCTGATTGGATCGTTGCCATTATTGCTATTATTATTATTACTGTACTATTGTTATTAATATTAGTAGTTGTAGTATTGGAGCGACCCAAACAGGAAAAAGTAAAGAATCAGTAAAAACAGCCTGCAGTGGATCAGCCAATCACTGACCTCCCAGCTCCCCCGCCCCCCAGTTACCTTGATTAGCAGCGGGTCGGTCAGCATCGAGCGTCTGACCACACCCACCCTCGGTGATGATGACATGCTTCCTGTCAGAGGATGAAGATCAAAGCAGGCGTGAAGATTTGATTCTGAGGAACGAAAACAAGAAGAGACAGTGAGTGTGTGTCTGTGTGTGTGTGTGTGTGTG